CATCTGACAGGAGTGAGATGAAATCTCAGAGTAGTTTTAAGTTGCATTTCTCTAATCACTATAGAGGTTGAACATTTTTCAATATATTTGTTGATCAATGCATATCTTCTTCTGTTCATTTCTGTAGCCCATTTACAGATTGGGGTGTATTTTTTTGGTATTAAGTTTTTTGAGTTATTTATAGATACTGGAAATTAGTGCTCTATCTGATGTGCATGTGGTAAAGATTTTCTCCCACTCTGTAGGCTCTCTGTTTGTGTTATTTATTGTTTCCTTTGCTGAAAAGAAGCTTTCAGTTTGAATCCATCCCATTTATTGATTCTTGATAGTATTTCTTGTACTTTAGTGGTCTTATGTTGGGATGGTTGTTATTAAAAAATGAGATTATTTTGATGAGAATATTGAGGGAAGGGTACGCTTGGGTAGGGATATTGGGGTGGTGATATAAATTAATACAAACATTACTGAAAACAATAAAAAATTTCTTCAAAAAATTAAAAATATAACTACTTTATGATCCACTGATCCCAAGAGAAAGTATATGCCTGAAAAAATAAAATCAGTACTTTTAAAACTCCATGTTTTAATCCATGAACAACAGCTAAGCTTGAATATCCATCAACAGATGAGGGGATAAAGCATATGTGTCATGCATATGTAATGAAACACAATTCCAGCATGAACAAAAAGAAATGTTGTCATTCAAAACATGGGCGACCCTGCAGAACAGTATATCGTGTGAAGTAAATCAGGCAAGAAGGATAAATACTTAGTGATTTCATTTGTATGTAGAATTTTAAAAACTTGGTCTGATAAACATAGGAAAATAGACTTTACCCAAGATAAGGAAAGTTGGGAGACCAATGTGTGGATGGAAAATTTGTCAAAGAATTCCAAATTCCAGGTGGATGAGAGGAATAAATTAAAGAGATAAATTGTATATAGGGGTGATTATAATGAATGACTATGCATCATTTTTTTAATGAGTAATGGATGTCAGTGTACTTTACCACAAGAACAATAACAATAGGAGGTAATGCAGGCGTTAACTTTTCAGATGTTGTTATTTTACAATTTATAATACTTTAAAATATGTGTACACTTTAAACATGCAATTTTATCTATCATTTTAAAAACAAATAAATTTGAAAATAAATTAAGAAAAGTAATCACCAAGAAAGGACTTCTTTGCCTCCACAACATGGTGCACACAAAATGGTCCATGAAACCTCCAGTGCATGTTTCAAGAGAGGCAAGTCACAGAGAGATGGTTCCTGGTGCTACCAGCACAAGGAATCCCTAGAGGATCCTAGTTCCAGGTTCTTGATGTGAGCAAAGAATTGAGTGAAGTGTGAGAGGTTGGCAGGGAGACAGGGGTTATTGAGAGCAAAGGAGAACACTGTGGGAGAGCTGGGGCTGAGCTGCCAGGGAACTCCAGGCCCAGGCCACACAGTGGAGCTGCTTTTGTTGGGCTGTGCTGGTTCTCCCCCTTCTTCCCTGGGGTTGACTGGCATCTTGATTGACAGCTGAATTCTATATATTTTCTGCTGCCCATGCAAAAGTTTCTTTCCCCCCAGCAAATGCACAGGGAGAAGCAAACTGCAATGCTAATGACATGTTAACTAGCAACAAGTTCAATTAATTTGAGAAATAGGTCTAATGTGTATCTCCAAGAGAGGGGACTTTCCCTTCATAGTCCCAAATTCCCCTGGTGGTAATCTACCTTCTTCCTTTGAACCATAAGATGATCCAGTGTCCCCTCATAGGAAGCAGCTTGAGGTGGGTGTTGTGAGGGCGCTGGGAGGAACCCAGAGCCCTAAGGGGGTGGTCTCTTCCCACCCTTATCACCCACCTAACACTGGGAAGTGCTCCTTCTGGACATGAGACTTCTTTTTGAGAATTTCTGATGACCTTCAATTCAAACCAGAAGGGGAAACAGTTTCTCCTTAGAGAAAATAAAGCTATCTCATCCCAGTGCTTCCTACATAGTAAAGAAATTGAATGAAAATTTTCCATTCTGCAATCTTCTTTTTACCCCAAGGGAGTTTAAATGTTTAGAGACCAGAAAGACAATAGCACAATTTATCTAATCAGGAGCTCTGAGAATTCAGCACTTGAGATGCCCAAGGTTTAAACCTGCCCCTGATGCTCCTCAGCTACAATTCTCTGATCCAGCTTCCTTCCTGGTCTTCCTCAGGATAGAACGTGGAGAAGACAAACTTCAATGACAGACATCTGAGGGAGATGGTGTGTCCCAGTGAGGACACTGGAGTCAGAAGGAGAGGAAGACGTGGGCACTGAGCACTGTCTCTGCGAGGAAGACTCTAGAAATGACCCAGTTTTACTGAGTTTTTGAATCTGTAGTCCCTGTTCCTTGAAGGATCTTGAGCTTTCACTGACACCTCATCTCAGTTTTAATTCTGTCTCCTTCTCTTTAGAATCTAGAGCATGTTTCCAATCAGAGTTAGACTCTGGAGAGTCTCCTGTTCTTGTCCACTCTTTCCCATAAACCGTGGTCTCCTGCATCTAATTAATTAATTATTAGCAGTGCACCAGAGATCATTATGCAGAAGGTATGGTCTACTTTGTTTCTAGTTTAATTGGATCTTTCTGGTCTATTTCCTATTTTTATGGTCAAATTTGATTTACTGATAGTCCTCCTTTCTGAGGTGTTTGTCCTTTAATCTTCCTGTCCTCAATAGCACCTACCAATAATGTGATTATTTCTGACAGTCAACATACACTCCAGTTCCATTTTCTCATGTTAAAAATCCCTTAAAATACTCTGGAAAATATTAAAAGATTGAACTTGGAGGAGAATGCATTGGCACATCCAAGAATTTAACACAAGTGTTCTAGTATTCTAATGAAACTGTTCCTATTGACTGTAATTTGAAAATAAGTGCTATTTATTGGGTTAGGAAATTGTCCTTGGTTTCTTTGATTACGGATGGGATCATCCCTGGCTCCTAGAAGAATGAGGACAGTTAAATTCTCTCAAATGCATTTTTCTGTTTTATGATTATAATTTATATTCAGTTGCCTATTTTTTCTGATGAATTATATTGACCAACATCCTTCTGTGACTGGGCTTTCCTACATACTACTGATATTAACTTAGGTATCTGTTGGCTTTTTAAAATCTTTAGTATGATCTGCAAATTATCCTTAAAACCCAATGTTGTTTACATACATAGGCATGTGAAATTCTTGAGGATTCTTTTGGTAATAGAGTTGACTACTTAGTCTCAACTGTTGTTACACACGAAACCTTTAATTTGATTTCTTTATCACCCACAAGATGACAGGATCCACGTGAGGCCCTGGAAGGACTCATGATGAGCCGATACATTCACACCATCAGACCCACAAGTGAACAGAAAATCTTGGTATAGGAAGGACATCATGGGGGAACACAGGCAGCTCTACTCTGGGCCTCACACACTCCACCCTCCTGCCCCCACCCCACCCTCCCCTGCTATACCAGCCCCATGGAAAGGGCAGCTGCACATTCTGTCCTCTCAGCCTAGAACAGTTCTTCTCTCCTCAGTCCCTCTGGTGACAGTGACCCATCCTTCCTCTCTCTGTCCAAATATTTCTGTTTCAGGGAGGTATATCTTACCCACCTTCAGGCTAAACTGTTTCTCCAGGAACCCTACCTCAATCTAATTAGCACTCTCAGGCACTCTCAATAACCACCATTTGTCTATTGTGTGTAATATAAACAATGATCTGTGAGAATTAACTTTTTTTTATTTTAATTATTTTTTATTTTTCTAGGGTGACTCTGTTTCAGTAACCTGAATATTTTATCCCAATACATCTGTTGGGTGTTGCCCAGGAGCTCTGCTGCTCTGCACACTCCATCCCCACTGGAGAATATGGTTGCGTGAACATGCTCACCTGGCCTTGAATTTGATTTTAATGGTAGTGACCTTCTGTTTCTTCCTTTTATCTGTGCAATCGGTCTACATGATTTTTCCTCTTCTAGGAAGAACTCACGGAGCAGGAATTCTCTAAAAGAAGCAGCCTCACGGATCACCATTAATTAGAAGTGCTGCATGCAGTCAGCAGAGGTAACCCACCTGCTATATTTATGATCATCCGAATCCCCAGAATGCTGGTCTTGGTGGCTGCCAGAGCCTAAAAGGGAAATTGATAAATATAGAGCCTTGAGTACAGATTTGTGGAGATGCTATGAGTAAACCTCACATGTGTGATTATGTCACAGGAACTTTATTAGAAAATGTACCAGCAACTTTTCCTCAGATTTTGCTCTTAAATCCTCCTCTTAGAGAATATTTAATATTCCTACTGTAGAGTTGAGTATTTGTGTCAAAGAAAATTTAAATAAATTTCTAACAGTCACACAAATGAAAAATGAGTGAACCAAAAATTTGTTCAAGGACTCAAATTCTGAGTCATACTCTCTTACTATAATTTGGAGCTGCATATGTCTAACATCATTATCATACAAGAGGAATACAATAATAGCATTAACAGTAGTGAATTCTCTTCTTTATTGAGATCCTACTATGTAAAAAAGCATATCAAGAAAAAATTGGGTTGCTTAGATAAATTCATGTAGATGGGGGACTAAAACCACGAGAAGATGATAAATGAGAACTTATTATTATTTTTTTAAATGCTGGTCAGTGATACACATTTAAAATGGACACAAACTCCCCCTTGTCTCAGTGAATCAGTGTCATGAGAAACTCTGCTGGAGAGTGAAGGACGTCCATCCAAGGGTAATGTTGTAGAACAGTCACCTCTGGAGTGGCCTGTTGTGTTCTGAACTCAGCATGCATCTCTTTCTTAAGCAGAAAATCCACGGATATGGAAGCAGAAAACCACACAGGAGTATGGGAATTTGTCCTCCTGGGCCTCTCGGATGATCCACAATTGCAGCCCCTTTTCTTTGGCCTGTTCCTGTCCATGTACCTGGTCACTGTCCTGGGGAACCTGCTCATCATCCTGGCCATCAGTTCTGACCCCCATCTCCACACCCCCATGTACTTCTTCCTCTCCAACCTGTCCTTTGTGGAAGTCTGTTTAACCTCCACCACGGTCCCCAAGATGCTGGTGAACACGCAGACACACAGCAAAGACATCTCCTACAGAGGCTGCCTTACTCAGGTGTATTTTTTAATGATTTTTGCAGGTATGGATAATTTCCTTCTGACTGTGATGGCCTTTGACCGTTTTGTGGCCATCTGCCACCCCTTGAACTACACGGTCATCATGAACCCCCAGCTCTGTGTCCTCCTGGTGTTGCTGTCTTGGCTCATCATGTTCTGGGTGTCCTTGCTTCACATTCTACTCCTGAAGCGACTGACCTTCTCCAGTGGCACTGCAGTCCCTCATTTCTTCTGCGAACTGGCTCAGCTTCTCAAAGCAACCAGCTCTGACACCCTCGTCAATATCATCTTACTGTATGTGGTGACTGCCCTGCTGGGTGTCTTCCCTGCCACTGGGATTCTCTACTCCTACTCTCAGATCCTCTCCTCCTTACTGAGGATGTCCTCCTCTGTGGGCAAGTCCAAAGCCTTCTCCACCTGTGGGTCCCACCTCTGTGTTGTCTCCTTATTCTATGGAACAGGTCTTGGGGTTCACCTCAGTTCTGCCATGACCCAATCTTCTCAGGGAAACATGATCGCCTCCGTGATGTACACTGTGGTCACCCCCATGCTGAACCCCTTCATCTACAGCCTGAGGAACAGGGATGTGAAGGGGGCCCTGGGGAGGCTCCTCAGCAGGGTAGCCTCTTGTCCTTGATGGATCAGGGACCTCAGAAATAAGAGCATGTCGTGTCCCCAGGGGCAAATGTGAATTTTAATATCCTGGCTTTTCCTCTCTAAAAGGTGTGCATAATTGCTGGTGTTCACAAAGGAACTCACTTTGCATTTTATTGTTTTCTACTTTTCCTTTATAAACAGCCTTAGGAATTCCTTTTTAACCTTCTTTTTCTTTTACAAGATCAATGTAATTAAAAATTCAGAATGTTTTCTTACAGATATTCCTGATTTCCCACTTGAAGTAAAGAACTTGTATCATGTATTGACAGGGTTTCCTGAAAGTATCCTATTTACCAAAATTTTATTTCTCAGATTTTCATCCTTTGTTTGTAAATAAAATCATCAAAATGAAACATTTAGCATGTGAGGACTGCTTGTCACTCCACATGGGTGACTTCAATCATGAGAGTATTTCCCAGAGCTTTCTCTGCCTTTACTCTCAAGTCTCCTTGAGAGTTGAAGTAAAAGGCAGAGAAATTCCTGCACTCCTCTTGGTGTCCCACTTCTTCTAAGAAGAATGATTAGACTGTCACCACCAGAGCCATAACGCACCTTTGACAGGGATCCTTCATGTGTCTCCCAGTGGTCCAGTGTCCCGGGAACCCCAGTCACTGCTGCATTGCTTGTGGTCTCTGCTCTTTTCCTTTCTGTCTCTCTCTCCCCACTCCCACCTTCTTTCCTTGTCTCCCCACTTCTGATTCTTTGTTATTGTTGTTTAATTTCTACAACTGCAACTTGCTCCATCCCTGCCTGTGACTGAGTGTGGTCCTGGTGTGTGTGCACTCCAGCTATCATTCATCCACACATGGCTTTTGGGTGATCTCACCCGGTAGCTCTTTGGCATAGTGCTGTGTGGATATCCACAGCATTTTTATTTGTCTGGGCAAAGTCATGTGCCACCTAACAACTCTCTAGTCAAGGGCAGATGAGGCTCCAACAGCATGATAGCACCTTGTGGTGTCATGGCCATGCTTGTTTGTGTAGGCGTGCTCTGTGATGTTTGCACAAGATACATTGCAGGGTTGTCCAGCAGGGTGGGGCTGTGTTACTTTCCATACTTTGGTTAATGTATTTAGGAGTGGAACTACTACATATTGTGGTAATTGTGTGTTAGACATTTTGAGCCACAGGCAGACTGTCTCATAATCCCTGCCACATTTTACATGCTAACGTAAATGTTAATGGAAATACTAACATATTCACACCCTGCCCACACTTGTTCTTGTATGTCTGTCACAAGCAGAGCCTCAGGTGGGTGTGAAGTATCTCTCTCTCTCATTGTGTGTTGTTTTCATTTCCTTCTGACTAACTGGCCATGTGGTCATCGGTAGTGTAGAATCTTCTGTGCAAAAAAGTTTTTGTTCACATTGTAATTTTAGACTTTTTTCAAACTTGAAAAGTTCTATGTATAATATTGGTACTGACCCTGATCAACTAAGTGTTTTGTAAATGTTTCCACATTCTTTATGATGACTTAATGTTTTTTCAGTGTTCAGATTATCGATATTACCTACAGGCATCATGATATACAGTAGATCTCTCTGTTGTTAGTCCTCCTGTCTAAATGAAATTTTGTATGCTTTGTCAACGCCTACCCCATCCCCCACCACACAGTTAACAGAGCTACATTTTATTGTTTGGAAGAGCTCTAGTTTTAAAAATCCACATGTGTGTTAGCTCACATGGTGTTTGTCTTTCTAGGTCTGACTTCTTTCTCTTAATATAATATCATACAGGTTCATCCAATGTTGTAGCAAATGATAGGAGTCCCTCCTTTTTAAGCATGAGTAGCATTCCAAATTGAACACACACCACATTTCCTTATCTATTCATTCAATGCTAGACACTGAGGTTGATTCTGTATCTTGAGCATTGTGAATAATGCTGCTGTGCTTGGCAAAATGATTTTAGATGATTTGGATTTAGGATTGCTGGATCATATGGTAGTTCTATATATTTTTTGTTTGTTTTGGGGGGATCTCAATACCACTTTCCATAATGGATAAATAATTTACATTTTCATGAATAGTGTGCCAGGGTGTCCCTTTCTCCACATCCTCAGGGCACTAGTTATCTTTTATGTTAATAGCCATTTTAACATGTGTGAGGGTCATCTCCTCCTCCTGGTTTGAATTTGCATTATCCTGATGGTTAAGATGATGAGCATTTTTGTATACTTATTAAGTATTTTTATGCCCTTTTTTGAGAAAAGTCTATTCAGGTTCTTTGCTCTTTTTTTGTTTGCTTGGTTTTTTGTTTTTGAACTAGAAATTGAAACTTGGTGTGGGGCTTCACAACTAATCCACATCCCTAGCCCTTTTTAATTATTTTTTTAAATTTTGAGACAGGATCTCACCAAATTGCTTAAGGCCTTGCTAATTTGCTGAGGCTGGCCTTGAACTTGGAATCCTCCTGCCTCAGCCTCCACAGCTGCTGGGATTACAGGCCTGTACCATCACTCCCAGTTTTCTTTGCCCACTTTTAATCAATTTATTTGTTTTATTACTATTGAATTATATGAGGATCCTATTTTGGATATTTCCCTCTCATCTATTGTATGGTTTCCAAATATCTTAATTTTACGTTGTGTCCTCACTCTGGAGATTATTTCTTTTGCTTCGGGGAAGTTATTTAATGTGATACAATCTCATTGTTTTATGTTTGCTTCTGCTGCCTGTGCTTTGAGGTTTATATCAAGACAATCATTGCCCAAGCAAATATAATGGAGCTTTCTCCTATGTTCTTTTCTAGTACTTACAAGCTTCAGGTCTTACATTTAAATTGTTAATTCATTTTGAGTTAAAGTGTGCATGTGTGTGTGTGTGTGTGTGTGTGTGTGTGTGTGTGTGTGATGTGATTTTGAGTTGATATAATTTTTAGTTGATTTATGTGTATGGTTGATTTCATTTATCTGATATCCAATTTTTCTAGCATAATTAACTGAAGAGACTCTTTTGTGCAATGTGTGTCCATGTCAAATCATCAAAATCAGTTGGCCATTGATTGAGCCATACATCTGTGGACTTGTTTTTGGCTCTTTGTACTTTCCCACTGTTATTTGTGTCTTATTTTATGCCACTATTGTGCTCCATTATCTTGATGATGTGTTTTGAGGCATGGATTTTTTTCACTTTGATGAAGTTCAGCATGACTATTTTTTATTTTGTTACTTGTGGGTTCAATGTCATGTCTGAGAATCTGTTGTAGAATCTAATGTAATGAAGGTGTTTTTTTCTGAGAGATTTATGATTTTCACTGTTTAATCATTTTTGAGTCAATTTTTGTGTGCTGTGTGGGCTAGGAGTAAAAATTCTTCCCTTTGCATTGAACCTGTTCTTCGAAGAGGTCATTAGATAAGTCTGTGAATCACATCATTGCATCCAATAGCTACCACATACACATATTCTCAATGACACTTTGAGGAGTCTCCAGGAAAGATCATATGAGCCTTAACAAGATTTTAAAGGTTGAAATTATATTAAGTATCTTTTCTGAGAACAATGGTATAAAATTAGTAGAATTGTTTATACCCATTTTTTATACCATGTTATAAAAATTAGAAGAATCTTGGGAAAACTCACAAATATGTAGAACCAACAAACGTATTCTTAAACAAC